TTTCTGCCTACCAACATTAGGGTTCGGATAGAGATTAGTAGTTTAGAGTGTTGTTTTAGATAGTATTAGTGTTAGTTGATATCCGGATTGCACAGTTTTCCCAAGTCCGAACTAAGTCACACTTTTTCAATTGGTGGTGACTGTGAGATCGGACTTCCTAACCCACCCGAACGATTAGACCAAAACAATTCAATAATCCTAGCAACGAGATCAATCAACACAAGATTCTGATTAAAAAAAAAAAGTAAATGATCAAACGAATAATGCAAAGAAATACTCATCTAAAAAGAACCCAAGAACCACCTAAGAAGAGTGCAAGCCTGGAAGACCGATGTGCAAAATGGATGGAAGAGGTGAACAAACTCCGAGGATTACACAAATCAGCAAGTATAATTTATGATGATGAAACTGATATGGTAAAATGTTGTAAGAATAGAGTTGAACTAAGAGAGGATGATAGCAAGACATCCAATCACAATCAAAAAACTGAAATTGGAGATGCGAACAGAATAAGTAGCCCGGGAATTGTGAAAGAACCACTTGATGCTATAGATTTTGAGCCAGCCAATCCAAAAATGGTTGAATGGAATTCGAAAAACGCCGAAAATGATTTAGAAAAACAATCAAATTTCGGATCCTACAATCGAAAATCTGCTGATATGGAGCACGCTGAAGAAGCATATAATGCTGGATATTGTTATTTTAATGGAATTAGAAGTGAAAAGAGCAAACTTAAGGCATTTATTTATTATCAAAAATCAGCTGATATAGGGCATGCTGAAGGAGCAATTAATGTTGGAAATTGTTATCGAAATAGAATTAGAGTTGAAAAAGATAAGCAACCCGGAGCACAAATAGAAATTGAAAGAAAAGCAGATAAATATTATCACAAACCAACAAGAAGGTCCCATGTTGATGAAATACCTACGGTTGGAAAAATAAAGGACAAAAATAAGACATTCATTAAAGGAATGAATCCTATTAGAATAGAAGTCGAAACGGATCAGGATAAGGCATTCATTCAAAAATCAGCCAAAATAAATTATGGAAAAGCGGAAATGAATCATATTGATGAACTAAATAGTTTTGATAATCATGAAGCTTTCGGTAACCCTCAAGAATCTGCTATATTGGATTATGCTAATGAAAGAACCGACCTTGAACCCTACTCTCAAAATGGAATTAAAGTTAAAGTAGATCAACATATGGCATTCAATCATCATCGAAAATCTGAAAACGGACATTACAATGAATCATATGACGTTGAATATTATAGAATTGGACCCGAAGAGGATGAATATAAGACATTCAGTTATTATCGAAAATCTGCAGAGATGGGGAAGGTTTATGAAACGAAAAATCTTCTATACTGTTATCAAGTCGAGGCTGAAGCCAAAGAAGATGAAAAAGCTGAAGCAGATCAGCAAAAGGCGTTCATTCATCATCAGAAGTCTATTAAAAATAGACCTGAAGTGCCGAGACAGTATTCGAAGCCTGTTAAAGGTGGTAACTCAAAAAGACGGATTGAATTTGATTTAGGTACTAATAAAAATAAGAATAAGACACCTACGTACTACCTGAAAGTAACTGAGCTTGGTAATGCAAGCATAACGAATAGTCCAGGATATTACTACGAAAATGAAAGATTGAAAGATTATATGCCGAAATTAATTGTGTTGGTAGAACCTTGATGTCTGACAATTGTAATCACATTGGGATTAGAGTTGTTAAGGATAATTATAAAGCATTCGATTACTATCAAAATTTAGCTGAGATAGGGCACCTTAAAAGGACATTTAATGATGGATACTGTTATCAAAATAACTTTGGTGTCGAAAAAGATGAAAATAATGCATTCATTTATTATCAGAAGTCTTCTAATATGGGTAATAGGACAGCAATGAATAATGTCCCTCGACTGTATCGAAACGATACAAAAAGAGATATTCGAAAGGCAAATTCTTGGTCTAGAAAACATAGAAGCCTTTTGAAAACCAATAAATCACCAAATCATGTCAATCCTGAACTTAAAAGAATATTAGACGATGAAAGATTTAAATTATCTTGGATTGAGTATAATAAGGTCGGAGGCATCGTAGAATTGGGACAAAGAGGAGTCACAACAGTATATTATGCTATATGGAAAGACCGAAATAATACAACAAGAGAAGTTGCTCTTAAATTACTTCATGAATCAAAAAGTCATACAAAAGAGTTAAAGATATTTTGTTATATAAACGATGAAAACTCTACATTCTTAAAATACTACGAAATATCGAAAGATTGCGATTCTGGAGATTATATTCTTGTTATGGAATATGCATCAAAGAGTTCTTTGTGCGATAATCTACACGAAGTATCACAAATGAGATTGAAAGACAAATTAAACATATTACCCGACATTGCTTATGATTTTCAAGCAACGATTCATTCCAAGAATCTTATTCATCGGAATTTACATAGTGGAAAAATATTACAACATAGCTTACATAATATAACTTACCATAAAATGAATGAGCACGAGGAACCACTTGCTGTTCTGAATTACACCAAAGCATCGGAGTGGAGTATGGAACATGCCGAAGGGATTTGTTATAAAAGCAAAAACGGAATTAGAAAGAACTTTAAATACGAAACACACCCGAATAGTCTCAGAGATTCTGAATCTGACAACACTGCTAGCGTTAATGAAATATTGAAAGACCATAGAGTTGGCTTTAATGAAGAAAATCAGGCGCCTATTGATTATCAAAAATCAGCAAAGACTGGGAGTATTGCCAAGAGAACTAATCTTGAATATTGTTATGAATATAGAATTGCAGACAAAAAGAAATCTGCCGGCATTGGTAATATAGATCGAATATTTAAGCTTGAACATTGTGACCAAAATAGAACCAAAGATAAGCATAAGTACAGGTCCGAATTCCTTCAGCAAAATGAAACTGGCCTTAAAAAAAATGAACATAAAGATCTCAATTACAAAGAGATAGAACTTGCCAAAGAAACGATATATACTAAGAATTGTCATCAAAGAGAAGTCGAAAAATCACTTGCCAATTTAAATGAGTTAGTAGAAATTGAGTCAAATAATTCGAAAACATCTGAATGGCAATTGAAAAATACTGAAGATAATATGAAGAGACGATACAAACCTGGATCCTGCTATCAAGAAAATGTAAATACTGACAAAAGGAAAGAGATAGCATTTGAACAAAATATGAAGCCTACAAAGAATGCTAGTGGGATAAAAAGCCTGGAATATTGCCAGCAAATGGGAATTGATATCGAAAAAGAAGAATATAGGGCTAAGGGAAAACCTATGTACATACCAATTATGATGTTCGAAATTATAAGCTCCCGACATCAGAAAACGCTAAAATTCGTTGAAACTTGTATAAATTATGGGCACAAGTTTTTCTGCCATACCCATCTCATTAGGAACCTATTATGATGCAATAATTTTGAAGTTACATTAATGCCGAAGAGGCTGAAGGGAATGGCCTAATGGCCAAGATAATCAAAAATATTTAGTAGATCATCTTAGCTTAAAAAAAAAAAAAAAAAAAAAAAAAAAAAAAAAATTATTGTAGATCGACCTAAAGCATTCAAGTTGTATCCAGAACACATAAAAGCAGCGATTTAAAAGGATGAGACTATCAAAGATTAGCCAATATGGACAGTAGACAGAGTTAAATGACCTTGGATCATAAAATAAGAAAAACTTTAATTAACCATACGAAGTAATTTTGAATTCAAAGTTAAATCCGACGTTAAGCTAGAATTCTGACCAGGTTGTCGGTGTCCTGGTAGTGAAAGAAATTATTGTAATCGATGATATAGAAAAGTCAAATTGCCGATCTATGTAAATGGAGGATAATGCGGAAATACTGATATGAAATTGAAGAAAGAAAAATCGAATTATGCAAGAAATAGAGAAAATGGACATAACGAAAAAGAGATGGTAGGTCATGACAAGAATGTGCGAGGATGGGGCACATTAAGTGAAGAAATTAGAATAACCAGAGCGAAGAACAAATCAGAATTTGAAAGAAAGGGACGGAAAGAGGGAAGGAAACGTCCGCATTACCTGCTGGATAAGACTTAAGAGAAGCCCCAGAGGAATGTCAAAGCGTATCCACGAATAGAGCTTGTACAAATGTACAGTATTGGATATTGTTACCAAAACGGAATTGGTATTTAAAAAGATGAACATGAAGCATTGCCAAGATAAGAAGTGACTCACCCGAAGAAATCCGACGTAAAATTCAATTCGGCCTAGGTAGTCGGTGGCCTAGCATTAGTTTATAAAAGAAGTTTATAGTTAGATTTCTTTACATCAGAAATTATTTTATTTCTATTTTTTTTAATTAATTTGGTATTATTTTTTATTGATTTTCTTTTCATGTTATTTTTCTCGTGGAACTCGAAAATAAGGATGGGAGAATTGTGAGGGGCAAAAATCGATCCCTAAATTCTATTTTTATTCTGTAGTTCTAATTTTAGAACTAAATGTAGTACAATTCCAGTGATTCCCGGTAA